AATTACTGTGTACTAAAAGTTTGTATCGAGAGATAATAAACTGGTTTAATTAAGAAAGGACTTGTATCGCTGATTTACTGTGCTCAAGATTGTGTTTCTTTCATAGTTGTGTGTTGATGCTTTTGTCCTTTTAACAATATTGTGAAATATTTTAGAGTAAATATAGCCTAGCAGTTTTTCATAAAAAAAATAAAATTCTAATTAAACCTACCGAAAAAATGATAACTCTTAATTTATAAAAAATATATCTTCAAATAGTTTAATTTATTAAAGTTTTAATAGATTATAAATCATCCTTACATGTTTTTATTCTATAATTATATTAGCTATGACAAAGTAAACTCTTTATTATAACTGAAGCTAACTGTAATTGTATACCATAACGTTTCTAGTAAATTTCATTTTGATTTCTTAAATATCCTGTGTTGTAAAAAAAAAGTCGATTGAACTTTAAAGAAATATTCATACAGCAAGTAGTTTTGAAAAAAATCTGTCTTAATCAAACTGTTTTTATAGCGTTCATTAATGTGAAGTACAAGTTTACTTACCCAAACCTGTTCCCTAAAGCTAGTAGCTTGTTTTCTAGCAGTTGGGTGTCCTTAAGGTTGTAAACATAAGAAACAAGTTCAATTAAAACTATGAGAAAAACAGCAAATTATGTTACTAATTCAAATATATTAATACCTATTGAAAGGAGAGGGAAAACCACTTTTACTTAATAATACTTGTTGTATTTACAACATAGCATTTAATATATGCAGTGATGACATAAATCTACAACACAACTAGAAACAATATCAGAGACATTTATAAACAAAAGTAATTTCCCTAAACAAATCGTCACTAGAAACTTAGCTAATTGTAAAAACAAATTCAACACCAAAAAAGAAACAGAAAACACTATAAACTCTAAGAATGGTGAAAATTACACTAACACTGACACATTAATAGATATCTTACCATATCATGGTTATGTAACTAAATCCGTCATAAACATTTGGAAACAAGTATAAACAAAATACAACATTAATAATAAAGTCGTGTTTGTTCAAAAACCAAGCACAAAAATCAAAGACCATCTAAAGAAGGCCTATTTAGATAACTTCAATGACGGATGCATCTATACGTATATATCAATGCAATAGATGCGACAGCTCTTATGTAGGTGAAACGGGACGTAACATAAACATTAGGATTAAAGAACATAACAATCACCAATCACACATTTATGAACACAGCATAACAAATCAACATCCAATAAATAACAACAACTTTAGCGACACAAGTCCTTTCTTGAATAAAACTGGTTTATTCTTTCTGAATAAAACTTTGCAATACACTTAATTTTCACAGTCGCGCTATAACAAACGCTATAATTCACAACGAACGTCTCACGTGCTCAACTCAACAACTCTGTCCGCAGTTCAATTACACATTGTTCCCGTCGCATCTTGGCCGGTCTTATATATACAAGACTATCCCATATCTAGTAGTCTCCCGACGCTTCATGAACGTTCTAGAAGCGCGTGGCGTGTTACTAGAGTCACGTGACCTCCGCTGTCGTAACATTAAGTTTATCTGATGATGACTACACAAGTGGTCGCAAAATTGTAATAAATTTTATAAAAATAAAATAATCCTCAAAGCTGTCCTCAAAGTTATATTAATACCTAACAAAATGATTTTACAAAGAGCTCTTTCTTATTCTGTATATAACATTTTTCATATTCAAGGCTACGTTTACCTTATTAAGTATGCAGCTTGAAAACATTTCCTTATCTTGATTTTAAAATCTAACAACAACATGCACTAAACGTGTAACTTAACTATCAAGAAATAATTTAAAAGCATGCAGTTTAGTTCCCCTCCCTATATGAAAAAACATTTGCGTGGTTCCTTAAGGCTAACAAGACCCTTATATTTTTGCTTCAAGGTTGCGTTTATGCACGTTCATCACGTACACTTCACGTTCTCTTGTGAAGGATTACAGAGCTCTTAACATTATAGCTCAAGGGCCACAGTCTGAAACTTTAGGCACGCGTCACAAAATGATAATTGGCAGCTGTGCTACCTCAGAAAAAAATAAAATAAAAAACTAGCCACAGTTTATTGGTTATCACATATCTCCGCCTCCATTAGCTAGGGAGATTATGGGGGCTTCCTCTCAGGGTTTGAGGCGGAGCCACAGAAGCTGACGGGTTTCCTGTTATTGATACATTGAATCATGTTTTGTTTTTTAGAACCTTTAATGATCAAATTGGCAAGAATACAAATACTTTTAATTAATAATTTTACGGATAATTATGGTATTTTACTAGCAGTAATAAGCTATTTCTGTCTATTTCGTAACATTGTGCAGAGGTGATCCTAAACCAGTATGTTACAGGGAAACAGTTATTAATACTAATTAAACTGTGTTAATTTAAAGATTTGTTCCAAATTATTTCTTGGTTGTAGAATTTGAAATGCCCAACCAACGTTTGTACATAACAAATGGTATTGGAACTCCGATGTTTATTAATTTTTGTATTAACCAAACTAAAGTAAAATAAATGTATATATCTAACGTCCAATTAGCTCCAAAATTATAACCCATATTATACGCTCCTGCTATAACTTCAGTTTTGATATGACGAATAAAGTGGTATACCTAAACTTCTCCTTCAATGTTTCTTTTAATTATTACCAATTTATAACAATAAAAATATTTTATTGTTACGACAGCTGTAGTCACGTTACGCTGATAACACGTCATGATATTCTAGAAGATTCACGAAGGAACGAGATGTATGCTTTTTGTATATATATAAGACCGGTAAGAAGTGATGGCAACAATATAATTAAATTGCAGACAGAGATAGAGACGAACAATTGAGTCAAGCGCGTGAATCGTTCGTTCGTTGTGAATTATAGCGTTTGTTTAAGTTATAGCGTGACTGTGGAAATTAAGTGTATTGCAAAGTTGTATTGAGAAAGAATAAACTAGTTTTATTTAAGAAAGGACTTGTATCGCTAAAGTTTCTTCGGAAATAATTTTTACGGAAAATTAAATAACGACCAGAGACGTAACAATATGTTCGATATTATGTGGCTTAAATAACATATGCATACCTAGTATTATTACTCATACATTTGGAACCATTACACATATGTTACCCGTATGTTACAAGGAAACAGTTATTAATACACATATAAACGTGCTAATATAATAAGTCTACGTACAGGTTTACTATGTGTTTGCAACATAATATTAACTTTCGATCAGGGCAGGCTACCTACTTAAAATAAAACCAATAATCAAATTGTGAATTAGTACGGCTAGTTAAATATACATTCCTACTCATACGTATTACGGGATCACTGGTATGTCCAGAGGAACGGAGGAGACTCCCGCTAGATTAGAAAGAGGAGTAGGACTTAACTATTGGCCAAATCTATGGTCTTATTATACCTATTCCAAGTGTTGGAATACTGCTAATCTGTGTTTAAGATAAGATCTAAACACACTTAAATTATATTAAAAACAAAAACTTCCCGTCTGTTTCAAGTTTACAGAGAAAATCATTTTAAAAAAGTGGTAAAATCATTGGTCTTATTCTGCTTCTCCTTGTTGAATTCGACTCACAATTTGATGGTCTCTTAATCATGCTCGCCCTTTAAGCCGTGGGGGCGTTATATAATGTGACGGTCAATCCCACTATTCGTTGGTAAAAGAGTAGCCCAAGAGTTGGCGGTGGGTGATGATGACTAGTTGTCTTCCCTCTAGTCTTTTACTGCTAAATTAGGGACGGCTTGCTCAGATAACTCTCGTGTAGCTTTGCACGAAATTCCAAACAAATCCTTGTTGAAGAGGCAAAACATTAATAAATTAAGAAGGACCGGAACGAAACGAAATTACATTAGTAGTTATTAACTTGAAGTAGGGTTTGACAACTGTAGCACATATATTTTATGAATACTTGTTTATAATTTTAATGGCGATTTTTCTTCATAGTCACTAGATTAAAAATTGGTGACTTAAGAGCTTAGAAGCAGGGAGAAAATCTAAAATAGGGAATAAGGAATAACGTAGTAATCGAAGACGCTGCCTTAACATATGTTGACATATTCCACAGGCAGCTGGGATTCGAATTCCACTTGACTTGGATTATCATTTTAAAGTAATATACTACATTAAGACGTGTGTATGTCGTAGATAACAATATATTTTATTATAGTTTATCTTACTAATTGGATTAACATGGTATGTTCAGGCTTTAATCGGGGTAAAAAATAAAACTAATTTGTTTTAGAAAATAGTATTACTTAATAAGCACCACATGTAATCAAAACATCTGACCATTCTGTGTGATAAACATTGAATATTTTTAGACAAAGAAGTAAATTATTGTACTCGACCCTAATCAAAGTGTTAAAGAAAAGTTATATAAAAGGTTAAACCTTATAAAAGTATAATGTTAAGGTGGATAGGTTAAATAAGAAATAATTGGGGAATAGTTGGTTTTCATTGCTACTGCAACCAGAACAAGTAGCAACGTGGATATAAAAAGGAGGCCTAATTTCCCCCTATTTTTCTCTTGTTTAATTCACCTATTTTTATATTACACATTTATATGGGTAATCCCGTTATTTTAAATGGACAGTTTTTGTACATGTTTTGATCAGATTAAAATTACAGCTTAAATGGTAAGGTTACGTTCAATGCTTCATACTTCTCTGTTCCCTTCAAGTAACAAGGTGAGGCCGACTACCCGGGTGAGTTCGAACCCTTTGATTCGAATGACGTAAAACATTTTCACGCTATCGAACAATGAGCTTAAGATGGATTCGGCTTCGGGCTTTAAGGCTTGACCTAAAAATAAATCATATATATATTTGTGCATAACGGGTAATTGCAATCAAAACTATGATTCACCACATGTGTTTTTTCCTAGAAGCAGACGAGTAAGTTGTTTTTCATTCATGTTAATATAAGGGTATAATTCAGGTTACAAAACTGTACTCATTTCATTACACAACTTAGTGTTGAAACTACAACGATACCACAAAACATTCCCGTACTCAGTTGTGGGTGACAGTTAGTTCTACAGTGTGAATGGTGGGTGTTAGGGTGCCATCACCATCTCTCTGGTCAGTAGTTCAAAATTTAGGAATGGAGGGCAAATAGCCTTAGTAGCTTTGTCAAAACAAGACACAAGGATTATTAAAATACCTGAAATAATAACGAAACTAAAATCTAATTTTATAGTAAATGTTTAAGCTTATCTTAGTAATTAGTACTAGCAAAATATGGTAGTGAACGCAAGCCAAAAATACTTAAGGAATAATTGGAATTTGAAACGTACAGCCATAATAGGAAAAAAAAACATTGTTATGAAGCAATGTTGGCTGTGGTTTCGCTAGATAGTAGATAGGGACAGTGGGAATCTCGTTAATTCATTCATGCGCGTCACTAATTAGATGACGAGGCATTTGGCTACCTTAAGAGAGTCATGTTGTGCAAACGGTTAGTCATTTAGCGTACCCTTGAAAATTAACATCTGATAGAGGTAGGTTTACATTTACATAATTCAGTATCAGTATGTTTAACATTTGATAGAGGTGGGTTTACATTTTCATAATTCAGTATCAGTATGTTTAACATTTGATAGAGGTGGGTTTACATTTTTATAATTCAGTATCAGTATGTTTAACATTTGATAGAGGTGGGTTTACATTTTTATAATTCAATATCAGTATGTTTAACATTTGATACAGGTAGGTTTACATTTTTATAATTCAATATCAGTATGTTTAACATTTGATACAGGTAGGTTTACATTTTTATAATTCAGTATCAGTATGTTTAACATTTGATAGAGGTAGGATTACATTTTTAAAGATTCAATATCAGTATACATATGTCATCACGAACAATGCAGTGACATATATAGGGAAGTTTATTTTGCACTTTCCATTTTAAAAATCTTGTAAATAAATAAAAAGGGAAAATGTGTGGTACTGATTTTTTATTTATGTGTTTATAAAAAAGCTTTTATATTTCTGTCCCAGAGGTACGTAGGACACTGTATTTTTAGTTCATAGATGATTTATACAATTCAATAAGCTAGACGTGACTTTAGTGTTAAATGTCCCGGACTGCGTTCGGAAGGCCAAAGGTTAGAATCTGATAATACTCTCCCCAGTTTTAGCAACACTGTGTGCACTGTTAACTGTACACGCGTTAAAAAAGGGGCAGTCAATTCAGCTATTTGGTTAAGAAGCGCCCTGGCTCTGGTTATCACGCCTACATTAGGGCGTATTGCAGTATGTGATTGTGTCACCGTTCACAGTGTTTTCATTAATTTCGTTTATTCGTTTCAACAAACGATTTTAGATGTTTTCACTTATTCAGAAAATGCTTTCATAAGCAGCTAATAATAAGTAATTGAACACGCAAGATATAGAATTTAATCACTTCTTGTACTTTGCAGTAAAGTTTATCCCTCTTTTTCACAATCTCGGTTAAAATAAAAGCTTAAAACAATGAAATTATAAATGAAACATGAAAAAATATCACAATAATTTAATTATGGATTTCGATATAAAATGTAATAGCAGTACGTGAGTATGATGTTCTAAATTATGTACTTTATAAAAGTACTTTGTGTGTATCAAGTTTTATAGATTTATTTCAAAGGTACATTACAAGTCTCACAAATAACGAATCGTGTCCATCCATGTTTATCCCAACACTTTTAAAACTACACTAAAAGAATGAAAGATTTAAAGATTCTGACAAATGTAAACAGACCATGAAAGAAATAAAAATACTACTACCATTCATTCTAAAAAAACTATACTACAAAGAGGACGTTGAAAGTTTGAAGTTTGTTAAAGGCCATTTAATATTATAAATTCATTATATTGTGTTAAGAAAAAAAAACATGAAAAAGAATTTTTCCATGTGCTGACCAAACAGTCTTTTTACCTTGACCCTTGTTGTCCTTTAATGTTATGTTACCAAATCCACACAGTGAGGAGGATATATTTACAAGAAAGCATAAACTTACTAAATGCTACTTTTATTTTTAAAGCTTAATTCATTTATTTAAAAACAGTTGTCCTTTTTTAGAACTAACTATATTACTGAAATACAAACAAACAAACAAATACTTACCAAACATTATTTGATCGTTATCCATTAAACGAACAGAAGCTGGTTTAAGTCCCTGAAAATGATAATTTGAAACGATTAAACTGAACAAAATACTGGGAGAACAAGAAATAGAAAACCACAGGAAAGACAATAATACAAGTATAGATATCCTGAAAATTAAAGTTATTGCTAAAGACAGAGAATTAGAGACAGAGAACTTGTTTTTGTTTATTGGTTTATTTTAGCACAGAGTTGCACAATGGACTGTGTGCACCGGGTACGATGATATAGCTTTACAAACCCTCAAGCTTATCTCTGAACTACCTGGAGATCAAACACAGCGGGAACAAGAGACAATAGACTACAGAAACGTAGAAGTTAAAACAGAGAAAAAGAGTCAGAACTGAAGACAAAACTAGTAAAAGAACTATAAATAACCGAAAACAGAAAATATAAATGAGGATATTAATACACGAGATTGGCATAACATGGTAGTTAGAATGCTCATCTTGTAATGTGTAAGTCACACATTCGAATTGCATCACCGAACATGCTCTCTTTATCAGCCGTGGGGGATTTACGATGTAACGGTCAATCCCATTTGTCATTGGTAGAAATTGCCCAGCATGGCCAGGTGGTTAGGGTGCTTGACTCGCAATCTGAGGGTCGCGGGTTCGAATTCCTGTCCCACCAAACATGCTCGCTCTTTCAGCCGTGGGGGCGTTATGATGTGACGGTCAATCCCATTATTCGTTGGTAAAAGAGTAGCCCAAGAGTTGGCGGTGGGTGGTGATGACTAGCTGCCTTCTTTCTACTCTTACATTAGGGACGGCTAGCGCAGATAGCCCTCGTGTAGGTTTGTGCGATATTCAAAACAAATCAAACAAAATCGTTGGTAAATCGTAGCAAAAAGAGTTGGCAGAGGGTGGTGTAAAACGCATAAGGGACGCTTATTGTTGCATTTTGTAGTGTTGTGACGTCAGTAAAACGTGTGCGTGCCATGAATCACGAGAAGACTTATCCACTCTGTAGTCTACAACACAGAATGACACATGATTTTCAAAAGCAAGAAATAAAAGTATTTATTACCTTTAATTTCGGCTCACTTACTCTTGAAACAAAACACTTTCGGAGACCCTGCGCAAGTACATCTAGTATTATGTGTGTATTTATATTAAGTAAATTTACTGAAATGCTTTATAAAAGTTACCACTACATACCTGTCTAGCAACCTCTCTCATAAACGCCACTCCGGTTTCAAAATCTGGGAATATGAACGAACCATATTTTTTGCATTCAGGTAGAGGGCGTATCTTAAGTGTTACTTCTGTAATTACTCCAAATGTACCTATGGAATTAAAATAAAACATTTGTCAATAGAATGATTGTTTTTTTAGAATACATAGTTAGCTATTGATTTGGAGCCTTTAGTATTCAAACTAATGCTAGTATAACGTGTCTTAATTCAAACGTTTTGGTTATTGTAACATTTAACCCTAATTGCTTTGTAATACGAATCAACTTAGAGCGCTGACAACAAGCTGAAATTTATAGAAGAAAGAGACGAAAAAGTACAACTTTTGTCAATCTGTTTTGGTTTTATGTATGCACGAGAAGCCACTTCGGTCAAAAATAATAGTAGGAATATATTCTTATGGTTACAATTTAGAACGTCAGTATAGCAAAGAGATAAAGAACCTGAAGCCTAACAAAGGATTAGGGACGATAAGATGCTTTTTCAAGTTTCAGATACGTTTAATTAAATACAGTGTTTAAACTCTATTGATCGTTGGTATAAAAGTAGTTAAAATTATTTTACTTACAATAATCTTTCATTTCCTAAGTTAAAATCATGTAGGCTTTAGCTCGAGGAAGTTGAAAAAAAGTGTGTTCCAAATTAGATTTTTTTTTAAACAAACCAAACGTGATCCACTCCGATATAACATTACAAGTACCTTCAGACCCGAGAATGAAGTGATGGACGTCTGGACCACTCGAGATTCTTGGAACCTATAAAAGTGTCAAATAATCGGAAAGACATTTTGAAATTTATTACTTTAGTACATTCAGGTTATATACATTAGTATGAATTGGTGGTTCTGATATAGTTTGCAGCTTATTTATACCAACCTTATATTAACCCTCGTTGGACCAGTGATTCACTTAGACGCTAAGAAATTTATATGGCAACGATGTTTTAAAATATTAAAGAACAAAGGTGGTTGCGGTGGTACATTCTAAATGTTTCTTTTTTTCGTGATCACAGATTAAAATCAAATATTCCTAACGCGGATTTTAACTTGTGTAGCTTGTAAAAATAAAGGCCTAGCATTTTTCTTAATAAGCAAGGTAGCGCAGACTGACAGCGTTTTAAATATGTTTGATTAAGGATCGTACAAAATTGGACTCGCATTGCTCTTAATAAATATAACATTTTCACTCTCAGGCCAATTTATAAAAAGAAAAATAGATAACTCTACAGAATAAGCTGCTTAATTGTGCTTTAATAATTGCCGATGCAGTGTTAAAATAATGATCCGCAGCAGTTGAGTTTTAATGTGAGAAACATGAATAATAATATTTCGAAAAGAACTTAAGATTTGTTTTTGTAAACACTATCGTCCGATAGACACATGTATGAAGCATTGTATATGAAATATGTGGTATGGAAATGATTAGCTTGTAAAAAAATAACCGTTTTAAAAGTACTCTTTAATAGAGTTAGGAAAAGTGGGCGACAAAATCGTTATGATGTGAACTTTTATAAACAATGATAACCATATTAAAATGAGCCGTTGATTATATCGTGAGGCACCAATTTAACATTATTGGTTTCTCTCAGGTACGAGCATTTGTTGGCAAATAACCAACCTTACATATCACTCACTGTGATTATCATACATAAATCACATGTAAATAACAGGCTACTACTTTCCTTACCAGCAAAAATCTCTTCCTGTGCCCAAGCCAGTAGTACAAGTTATACTACGATGTCTTAACTTAACAATCAGTCATACGAAAATTACCAACCTTCAGCTTAACTGTATACAATGTGTTTAATGTTTATTTCTTCTCTTCAAACAGATATGTAAAATGCTGCAAACATATGACAGCCACCTGTGCTGAGTTGCAACGAATGAAAAAAAACTCAACTGGGGAGATGTACAGTGAGTGAGGTAGCAGTCCCTCGTAACAATGCACACATTATACACTGCAATTTACAGGTGTTAGTTATTAGTTCGATCAAATTATCGATAGTAGCTTGTAATATAGTATTATAAATCACTGTTTTCACCTCTCGGCTCGTAAATGTCACTTTGCCAGTCTACATTTAATTGTGATTTGTATTATGTATAATTTTTAAGTCCACAAAATCAAGGAATGTGGATAGAATGAAAGTTTATTTCGTTCTATCTACCTATTGTTCTGGGTCATGTGAGTTTTCTCGGTAGAAAGATTGCTGTAAAGTAGAACTATGTAAAGGTGGACATAGATCTTTTCCACTGGCGCGCAAGGCGATACTTTGAGGATGTGGTTTTCTTATTTTCTGTTGGAAAAGCCAACATTGACGTGCATAGCACATGCTCACCGAGAGATATGCTATTACAATCTTGTATATAATGTTATGCTCGCATAAACTCTAAAAAGTTGAAGTTTTTAACCAGCTCAATGCTTTAGTTTTTACCCCTCCAGTAAAAGCCATCTTCTGCCTAGTACACTCGTCCGCTTTAATTGTTTTTGTCAATGAAGATCACTTTCACTTTCTTTATGCTGTGTTCTTTCTCTTTCTTGCTTTAAATTAACCAAAATCAGAATTCAGATTTACTTTACAGTACACTTCGTGATCGAACATCTTGTTATTTGCAGATACACCCTATAATGTAAATCACTACACACGATAATGCCAAGCAGCGTGCAACTTGGGAATAACTATAATATGCAAGACCCAACCTGATAACGCCAAAAAAAAACAGGTTTTTATGCTCTTTAAGAAAGATTTGCTCGTCAGTTTAATTCTCTGTTTGACCTGCTGTACCAAAACGTGTTTTATTAGATATATATATAATTAAATGTAAGTTCATGAGAGAGAGAAAATCGCAACCACAGTACAAACATTCAACACCAGGACACAAAAGGTGGGGCATTATGTAATGTGCCCTGGTTTTTAGAGGTACTGGTGGAAGTAAGACCCAAATTTCATTGGAGTACAGCATCTATCCAGTTTAAATTCAACTTCGCCGGCCTTTCATAATTAAGAAAAAATAAATAAAATTGAGCAGACGTCCCACATCTTTCACTGTCTGCAGCCAGATGTGGGAAGGTGGTTGCTCACAAGAATAAAAAATTAAATTAAAAAATAACAAAAACGGGCAAGAAAGCATAGAATACATTACATCGATGAGGGAAGACAACAAAACTGTTCTTGAAGTTAGCATTCTAGCCCCGAATATGATGTTTGGACATAAGTACCAAGATGATAAGATATTACTATACTAAGCCCAACCAATATTATAAGTATAGCTCCCATTCTCCACCGTTCCATGCTACTATTTGGATCTTTAATGGCTCTAAGGGATCCACACAGTAGCAGGTGTTACATAGGGAAGGTGATATAACTATCACTAGGTTAACCTACCTATACAAGATATGAAAAGTCTAATAAGTAATTTCAATTATTTCCCCTACAGTAAATTTTAGAAATTATTTTTATTGTGCATATTATAATTTTGTTTAAATCACCATTTTCAAATTTGTATAAATATTTTCGATATTTTTTATAAAATAATTTAAGATATTATATTAAAGTTTTCTCGTCGAACCCATTAAAAATAAATTTATGTACTAATATATTTATATTAGATATGAAGAACTGTACGTTACTACAAATTCTACAGTACTCAAGAAGCTGTGAGTGTATAATGTTCTGTATGACATTTGTTGGAACATTACTGTTGGGAGAGAGAGAAGTACAAAATTTTGAAATGTAAAATCACTGTTAACTATGTAATTACTTATTCCTGGATTATCAATATTACTAATCAAATCGTGAATATATCTGTATGTTAAGGAAAATAATTCCGGATTTGAAAAAAATTACTTATGAATTGATTTTCGTAATAATGAAGATATAAATTGGCAACACAGAATAATTAACACCCATCGGTATGCCTAGTACAGGGGGTCCTCGTTATACGTCGTCGCGAATATATGTTGTTTCGCACCTACGTAGCTGACTTTTTGAGGAACACAACGTAAAATTTTCCCGCACATACGTCGTTCATAGTTTTCGACTCGGTTCAACTTAACTCTTTCATAATGGGATTGGTCAGTTTGAACGACCACATACGTGACCTCTTTGTTCTCGTTTAAATTCTTTACAGATTTAATACTTTTAACTTTCAATATAGTGTGTATATCTGCACGTAATTTGGCAGTCTTTCAGTTAGCATTATAAGTCTTTAACATACAAAAAATCATTTTTTTGACACTTAACCTTACTTTTTTATTCTAATGGTAATAATGCACTAAATAATTTTTATTTAATTAAATATTGTACCAAATAACATAGACTAGTAACATGCAAGTAGGAATACAGACAACCCTTAACTCTTTATTTAAAATAAAAACACCCAAGAAACCCAAAGCAGGTCCTTCTGGCACTCAACAGAAGGAAGGTCCTGAACGTACGTCTTCTATAGAAATAAAGATGGTGGATATCAGTTATGTTGATGACTTTACAACTGGCTCTCCGTTCTTATTCTCCACCTAATCCTCTCCCAACACCTTCTTCATTTAAAAGTCACTGCTTAGAAATTTCAGAAATATGTTTTCTATTAAAAAATGAAAATGTTTTAAATTGTACAGGGCTGCTTCAACATTCTCATAAAAATGTTTTTCAATGAAGTGGTTGGTAAATATAAATGCTGTTTAAAGGTCCTTGAACTCAGAATTAGTTACAAATATGTGCACATTAGGTATTATATAGTATAGTATACTACAGGTACTGTAAATGTATAATACCTATTTTATTTGCTAGGTATAAACACAACATTACGGTCCTTATTCAATATCATATTTCATAAGTTATGGTCCTTATTCAATATCATAAGTTATTCAATACCATATTTCATTGTCTCTTATAAGAGATATTGCTTCGCTTTGCGCCACATAGGCAATGTTTACGCTCTTACGGTTCCTATCCCCCTCCCTTCTCCCCCATTTCCCATTATTTTTATGGGCGGAAATTCCCCGTTATACATCGTTTCGTTATAAGTTGCAATTTTCCTGTCCCTAACTCCGACGGACGTATAACAAGGGCCCCCCTTTATTTTTTTTATAAATGTACTTATCAAGATAAATATAATTATTATATATACACAAAAACTGAAAATGCTTTTTATCTTAGCAGTAAAAGTTTGTTTTCTATTTCTCTGGGTAAATCTATAAGTTCGTCTATTAACGAAATTATCACTATTACCAAATCATTAAGTGGTATAGATGTAAACAATGTGGTAAAATCATATGTTTGAATTGTATCTGCTGCTAGTGTTTTATTTAAATTTTCTAAAGTTATGAAGACAGGTTCATTATTTTTAATTATCCATAAATCTTGTTTATTACTTGCATTTTGTTGTAATTTAACAAACAAGTGATTTAGTAATTTACTTAATAAAACTGCACGTTGTTTCAGTATAGTATTTACTGAACTAAAAATAAAACGAAATTTAATAGGAGATTTGAGTCATTTATGGATTTGTTTTACCATCTAATACTAAAACAAAAGAAATTAACATTACAATTACTATTACTTAAACATATAGCAGTACAGTGGAGGATGGAAGCTATACTTATAATATTGGTTGGGCTTAGTACAGTAATACCTTAACATCTTGATATTTATGTCCAAACATCATATTGGAGGCTGAAATGCTAACTTCAAGGGCAGTATTGCAGTCTTCCCATTTGATCTAATGTATTCTATTATTTCTTGCTGCTTTATTATTTTGTTGTGTTTTAATTTAATGTTTTTTTTCTTGTGAGCAACCATCTTCCCGCATCTGGCTGCAGACAGTGAAAGGTAGTAAAGATGTGGGACGTTGTGGGTCAGAGCACCCATATCTGCTCAACTTTTTTTCCCTTAATCATGCGAGGCCTGCGAAACTGAACAGATGGTGTACCCCCAATGCAATTTGGGTCTTACTTTCGCCAGTACCTCTAAAAACCAGGGGACATTACATAATTATCCACCTTATGATTTATGCCCCGGTGTTGATTTTTTCCCCTCTCATGAATTTACATTTAATTATATTTCATCTAAGGTTTGGATATGCTGCGTAATATTCGCGCTGTCCTTCCTTTTGATGTATTCTCCTTTTTAATTTTTAGCTTGTCTATATATATATATATATATTTGCATTTTAAATTAAAATCATGCGCCCTAAAATGATGTTACTAGGCATGTACTTCAATAAAAAGTGCTTTACTTATCATCACAGTGTGGAGTTTCGGCATCTTCAAAACAGGTGCGATTTTAATGAAATTCAGATTGTAGGCTAATTTTTCTTTAGTTCGGGTAAAATATTATTCTAATATCTTTTATCAGTTCTGTTTTTCTTCTGTTATCAGCTATAACGATACCTATATCTCTTTTATGTGACGTCAACGAAGGTGCTTAATTTATGTCATAATTTAATATTTTCTTACTTCATTACTGGATCCTACTTAAAAATGGACACAGGTCCGCTACTGACTACTTATGTTGTGAATAAATGTAAAAAAGTCACAATGAGGAAGGTTACCTGGCAATTTTTCTCCACAACACCTTGAGATGTTACCATCCGCACGTGGACCAACATATCTTCTATATTTCCATAGATATTTCTTTTCATCCCAGATGCTCTGGTGGCTACCCAACCTCCCAGAGAACTGAACTCAGCAGAATCTGGTTCATGACCCGTACAGAATCCGTACTCAGCAAGCTGAAGAGTAAAACCAACACGGTATGGTTTTGATAATTTTAAAAGTTTTTACTTGTATTTGCTTAAAACGTTTATCACACGTATAAATATTACAAAGGTAATAATAAAATGATGTCCACCCAAGTTTGAACAAGCATGTTACTAAAATGGAGAAATGTTGATACATGAAGTTTTTAATTTTTGTTTTTATTTCTAAAGAACCAATGTCAGTATTGTATAAACTTCCAAATTTGGATTTAAAATAACTAGATCGTTTAGATTATTGTATATAACTTTTTATTTGTTTCATTCTTTGACTGATTCATTAAATCTGTGTTTGTTTGTTTGTTTGTAGTTAAGCAGCTACACGAAGGGCTATCTATGCTCTACCTACCACGGTTATTGAAAGGCGGTTTCTAGCGTTGTAAGTCCGCAAACATACCGCTGTGCCACTGGCTGACCTTAAATCTGTGTAAAATTCATAAGTTTTTATAAACTTACACGTAACATCTCCAATCCCCAGTTTTACTTTTTTTATGGGGAATGACTTGTTTGTTTGTTTTTTAGAGCAAAGCCACATTGGACTATATGCTGTGTCAACAGGGAATCGAACTCCGGATTTTAGCGTTGTTAGTCCGTAAACTTACCACTGTTCCACCGGGGGACTAGGGGAATGACAGTGAATAACCAAGAGTGGTCTTTTCTCAACTTTAAGGTACACAAGTAGTTTTCTTAAAGCCTCTGGATTTACCCAACCCTCTCACCTGTAAATGATGGGTTATTACTACTGAACTTGACACAGAATGTTTGTAATGTGTCTGCACGTAGTCGTACTTGCAGTAGAGAGTGAAATCCACTATACTAGTTTTGTATACGGGCGCAAAAATTGCAGTATAAACATAATTATACACTTGTCAATGCTACCGAGTGAAAAATGATTTTGCCGCATTATTAGTGTTTGACGTTTTAATTACGACTTCATAAAACGATTCAAAATGTGCAGCTCACTGTACGGCCTCTTTTATGTTGTGTGTGAAGAGTAAATCTGAGATAAAAAAATATAACTAGAGTATTGTTAAGAATATTGACTTTGGTGTGAAACCAGCTTACCCTTGGCACTCAGGATCTTAAATACATGTATATCTATATTTAGTACTTGCGTGTTTTCTAATGTTCAGAGATTAATTGATATCAAATATATTTGATATAAGTTTGTTCTGTGGATAGGAAGTAATTTAAATTATGTCAAGCTTTTATAAATGTTTGAAGCCTAAAATTACTAATTTGACAAGCTTGTTTTGAACGACCTATCAAACAATTATTTAAAGGAACTATTACCCTGTTATGTAAAACTTAAAACTTTGTAGTTGTTGTATCTGATGGTACCAGGCTAACCTGACGAAACATTGTAATATGTAAGACTTAAGACTTTGTAGTTGTATCTGATGGTACCAGGCTAACCTGATGAAACATTGAAATATCTAAGACTTAAGACTTTGTAGTTGTTGTATCTGTTGATACCAGGTTAACCTGATGAAACATTGTAATATGCAAGACTTAAGACTTTGTATTTTTTGTATCTCATGGCACCAGGTTAACCTGATGACACATTGTAATATGTAAGACTTAAGACTTTGTAGTTATTGTATCTGATGGTACCAGGTTAACCTGATGAAACATTGTAATATGTAAGACTTAAGACTTTGTAGTTGTTGTATCTGATG